CTAAGAAAAATTGATATCGTTGCAGTTTTTCCCCACTTTAGTAGTCAATTTACTAAAAATACATAGTGAGTTTAAGAAGAAGTGATACACAAAGTTTCTCTGTGTGTAATGCAATGTAGCTGAGCGGTCAGAGTACACGGCTCGCGTCCCAAGGGTCCTGGGTTCGATCCCCCATACATGAGAGATTTTTCAAAATTATTCTTAAGTGCTTTATATACCAATATATTAATCTAAGAAATAAAAAAAAATTATAAAAATTCTCATTTATTTAAATTAAAAATAATTTTTCTCAAAATAGGTCAATTTAGAAGAAAACTGATAAGGCCCTAATGAGTTTTTTCCCTAATTAGTAGAGGGTATAATTGATTGGGAGAAATTATATATTTATTTTAAAATCACAAATATAATAGTTCCCTGAATATTTTTTCACAATCACTACGATAATATACATAGTAAAATTATATAATTTTCTGTAATTTAATCGGATACGAAAGAGCCACTTCGTCGAGCATAAAGTTAATACGCCATAGTAGCAAGTAGAGTATATATATAAGTCCTATCACTTCCGGCCGAACGGATATTCTCCCGCGGTAATATTCCGACGTTTACATCAAAAAATTCGTTATATATTTTATCATTATTATATGACATGAATTAAGAGAAGAATTAATCTTAAAAAACAAAAATTTAACTTTGAAAATACACTCGAAAAAAGTGATTTTAATACAAAATAAAACACACGCGAAATAAGTTAATTGTAAAGATTCACGAATATTGATAAAAAAAAAATGCGGCAAATGTCATTTTTAAATTATATATATTGTTCTATATAGAAAAAAAAGAGACAATTCCTGTAGAGGGAATTAAATATTAAACAAGTCACTTGCAAGTAACCGTCGCGCGCACGTAACGTCACGGGATAAAAGCAACAATTATATTAGCTATGCTCTCTAATTGCAGTTTGATGTCTATCATTTGCTTTTCATTTCAGAAAATAACCTTTTTTTTAAATAAAATCGAACATTTGTTACAGAATTCCCTTATTTACTTTTTTTAATGTAAAGAAAGGAATATTTATTTTTTATAAATCATAAATATTTTTATATTAATAATAATAATATTAATAATAATAATAATAATCTTTCTTATATTACACCCAGAGAAAAGATACATTTATATCAAAGAGCCAAATAAATTTTTATTTGTTGCAAATAAATATTATTTGCTCACAGAAAAAAATCTTCACCATAAAACAACGATATAAGTTTCATTGGAACAGCGATATGTATTTCATTAAAGCAGCCAAAGGTTTTGATATTCTAGAGAAACATATCGCTGTTCTAGATAAAGAATTTTTTTTCCTATACTTTAAATAAATAGAATAGTAGGCTCTGATATAAATATACACACTGAAAAAAAAATTTATTTGATTCAAATACAGGTGTATTTGGTTATTATCAAATAAATATTTACTTGAATCAAATATATAATATTTGAATCAAATATTTCAGTATTTGAAGCAAATACCATTTATTTGATTCAAATAAGAAATATTTGATTTAAGTAAATATTTATTTGATAATAACCAAATACACCGGTATTTAGATTAAATAAATTTTTTTTTCAGTTCATTATTATTCAACTCAAATATATATATTATATTTGTTTTAAATAAAAAATATAGGTGTAGAAAAAATTATTCAAATAAAATTAAAAAAAAAATACTATTATTCCACCTAAAAAAAATGTTTTATTTGAACCAAATATAATATATTTGAGTTAAATAAACGTATATTTGTCTCAGAGCCAACTAGCCCATTTATTTGGTGTAAATAAATATTTTATTTGTCATAAATAAAATTTTATTTTAAATCAAATAAATATTGATTTGTAAGTACAAATAAATAATTATTGGTAACAAATAAATATTTATTTGGGACAAATATAACTTTTCTCTATGTGTAATAATAATAATAATAATATGTACCTATTTTATAATAATATAATAATTTATGTACCTATAATAATAATAAAAATATATGTACCTATTTTCTCACATTAGAAAAAAATTTAAATATGAAAAGATATTATTATTATTTTTATTGGATAAAAGAAAAGAGTAATTATATATGACATTAGAATTATAAGACAGTGTCTTTTGTTATAATGGAACATTACTCGCATTTAAACAAATATTAATTATCGTCGTATGCTAATGGGTCAGCTATAGGGAAACGAGTATAGAGAGCGATAAATGTTTAATGTTGTTTGGGATTTAGAGTAATTATGTTTTTGTGTGCGGCCCATGAACGAAAAGGGGTGCCGTCTATTGTGAAGTAATTCGACAAGGTGAAACATTAGAAGGGTGAATTCACCCTACCCACACCCTTCAGAATATTGTATTTCCAAATCATGAATCAGTCTTTCTCGATTCGTTTTTTTAAGTTTCATGAAAATCCACTGTATACAAATAAAGTTAGTTTTTTTAAATTACTATATAGTAATTTAATTTTTTTTTCTTGTTTTTTTAAAAAAAGGGGACTTTAAATAAATATTTATTTGTAGCTAATAAATATTTATTTAATATAAATACGGCTCCATGAGAAAAGGGACCTTATGGTAAAGAAATTTTAGGTTATGTTTAGTTTACCTTGATAAAAAGTTTTTATAATTAATTAGGTAAAATGAAAAATAATTTTTATTGATTTTTTCGAAATTAGGAATTAAACGCATAAATGTTTTGTATTAACAGTTGACTTTTTTTTGTGTATTTCCGTTTTAAAAATCACAAACATAACCTAAAATTTGTTTACCGTAAGGTCCCTTTTCTCATGGAGCGTTACATATTTATTTGATACAAACAAATATTTTATTTATCTATTTGTTTATATTTAAAATTTTTTATTTAAATCAAATAAATTTTTTTCACTGTATAAGTGAGGAAAGAAAAATGTAAATAATTTTTTTTTCTTTAATGAACGTTATTCCTCAAATAAAAGTAAAAATAGAGATGAATAATTATAATTCCAATTCGTTATGCTATTGGTTTGGAATAGAGTGTATAACGATGGGCAGGTGGTCGATGAAAGCTCACCCCACAAAATTGATATCTATGATATATATATATGCATGCTTAGGAGCACAGCACATATGTTCTTTAAAATATCCATGCAACCTCTGTATATGATGATCAAAGTCAACTCGTTGGAAAATGGACGAATCTCGTCTTTTGTGACTAAACGATTGGCGACGGTGAAATAACATTCGTCCGCCTTCTTCAGATATATATATATATACAATTTATGAGTATTAATTTTACATACATCCCATTGTCAAGTACTTTACAAACATACAAAAAAGGGTTACTTCGTGTAACAAAAGACTAGAAATAAAACATATCAAAAATATTTTTTTTTCCATAAAATAATTAAATAGTTTTTTATTTTTTATTTATATTGCGATTTTTTTGCAAAAAATTTTTTTTTAATTTTCTTAAATATATATTTTTTTGTTTTTATAAAAATGATTTAAAAATGAAAAATAATTTTTTTGTTAATTAATCTACTTGAAAAAAAAAATTAATTGCATATCGTGCAAAAGAGCATTGTGGATCAATTTAAATTGTAGAATTATTTTTTCTCTCCCTGATGAAAAAATATAATTTGCACTCTTAAAATTTGAATTAGTTACAAATAATTAATTTCATGGTAAAGTCTGTTACTGATTTCAAATAATTATTTTTTAGTAATTTTTATTTTTTACAAATAGTTATTTTCACTAATAGTTATTTTTTAATAATTTTTATTTTTTACAAATAGTTATTTTCAATAATAGTTATTTTTTAGTAATTTTTATTTTTTACAGATTGTTATTTTCACTAATAGATATTTTTTAGTAATAGTTATTTTTTACTAATAGTTATTTTTACTAATAGCTATTTTTCAGTAATAGTTATTTTCTACTAATATTTATTTTTACTAATAGTTATTTTTCAGTAATAGGTTATTTTTAGTAATAGTTATTTTTCAGTAATAGTTATTTTCTACTAATATTTATTTTTACTAATAGTTATTTTTCAGTAATAGTTATTTTTTACTAATAGTTATTTTTTACTAACAGTTATTTTTCAGTTATAGTTATTTTTACTAAGTTATTTTTAGTAATATTTATTTTTTCATAAAAACTGAAAAAATGGTTATATTTTTCAAATAGTTATTTTTATTAAGTAATTTACTAATAATTATTTTTTACTAATAAATTTTTTTACTAAATAAACTAAAAAAAAATAATTATTTATTAGTAATAGGTTTTGTTACTGAAAAAAAATAGTTTTTTTACAAATATGTAATTTTATAGTTATCTTTTACTCTAATATTTTTTTTTACAAAAAAGAAATAGTTATTTTTTACAAATAATTATTTTTTTATTAATAGTTATTTTTTACTAACAGCTACTTTATATACTAATTGCGCTGAGGCAAAAAGTCAACTAAAATTTTACTAAAACTTAGTTATTTCTTTTTTTTTAACTACTTTAAATTGAGAAAACAATAATTTACAGTTGCATTTTTGAATTATATATAAAATTAACTTTTTCAGAAGCTTAAATATAAACTGAATTTTTTTTTTTTTGTGAATATATAGAGAGAAATATAATCGACGCATATATAGGCAATGATTTAAAAAATACATATATTCGCGTGACTGTTTCCGATAGGGACATATTTTCCTTTCAATTTTTTATCACTAATACTCGCGATATGGCACAAGTCCAATTGGGGTCAAAAAATAAAAGAAAACACGACGCGCGCACTCATCCATCACGCTTTTGATTTTTGAATAACGCAGAATGACATATTATTTATTTTTTATACGCAAAAAATAGAGAAAAATAAAATGTGTATAGAGATTTTGCACGAAAATGAAGTTTTGTAAATTTTTTTTTTTTGGAGAAATTTTAATAAGAAAAGTATTTTCTAATATATATGTTTGCCTTTTTAGGAACGTGAAGCAGAGAAAGTATCAGAGGATGTGACAACACTTCGTGATATTAAACCCGAAATGTCACCAGCCAGATGTGTGGAAAGTTGGCATAGCAATAATAGTTCTTGTTACCGACGTTTAAATCTATTAAGCAAAGGTAATAACTTTTTTTCATATTCAAAAATAGCAAAAAAAAAAGTATTTAAATTCATTCCGATTTTGTTTTTTAAACTTTTTTTTTGTTTTTATCCTACTATACACTAATTAGAAAAAAAATTGTTTAAAACAACCAAATATTGGTTAAATCAACTAAATAAATGTATTTCTTAACCAAACTTTTGGTTGAATCAAGCAAAACTTTATTTGGTTCAATCAAATTATTTTCTCGTTTGAAAAATTTATTAAAATACACTGAAAAAAAAGAATTTATTTGGTTGAAATAATCGATTATTTGGCTAATTATCAAATAAATATTTATTTGGATCAAATAATTTTTACACCCAGAGAAATGATTTATTTGAACCAAATAAAATATATTTGAATTAAATAAACGTATATTTGTCTCAGAGCCTACTAACTTATTTATTTGGCGTAAATAAAAATTTTATTTGTCAGAAATAAATTTTTCTTTGGCTCAAATAAATTTTTTATTTCAATGAAATGAAATATATTTACAACAAATAAATGAGTTAGTAGGCTCGGAGACCAATATATATACCATTTCTCTGAGTGTATTTAAGAGCATTTGAACCTTCGTGACGTCACAAATCATGGCGCATGACACGCAAACTTCTCAGGTATGTGAAAAACACAATTTTGAATATTTTTTAAAAAAACCTTTTGGAAAATGTTCAGAGAAACATAGACTATGTCTGTTATGTACGGAAAATTCAAAATTTTGCGTTTAAAACGTTTTTTAAACAATGCCTACATATAAGCAATTCGTGTATTTTTCCTTACTTGTGACAACCAACTTAAACATTGTTTAAAAAACGTTTTAAACGCAAAATTTTGAATTTTCCGCACATAACAGACAAAGTCTATGTTATTCTGAACATTTTCCAAAAGGTTTTTTTAAAAAATATTTAAAATTGTGCTTTTCACATACCTGAGAAGTTTGCGTGTCATGCGCCATAATTTGTGACCTTAACATTGTTTAAAAAACGTTTTAAACGCAAAATTTTGAATTTTCCGCACATAACAGACAGAGTCTATGTTATTCTGAACATTTTCCAAAAGGTTTTTTTAAAAAATATTCAAAATTGTGCTTTTCACATACCTGAGAAGTTTGCGTGTCATGCGCCATGATTTGTGACGTCACGAAGGTTCAAATGCTCTTAAATCAAATAAAATGTATTTGAATCAATAATTTCTGTATTTAAAATAAATAACTTTTAATTGACTCAAATATAATTAAATAAATATTTACTTTATTTTTTATATTTTTTTTTATACAAATAAATACTTACTTGTTACACATAAATATTTCACAGAGAAAACATGGTGTTATTTTTGTTGCAGCTAATTTTTTTGGAGGGTAATTTATATAAGGGTAAATTTTGTATTTTACCTTTGTTTGGTATAATTATAATTGACATAAACAAACATTACAAATTTTTATATAAAACGTCAACTTCAAACATTAACCTCTCCAACCACAAAAATTTAAAAATAATATTTAAAATATTCACTAATATTTATATTTGTAAACAATATTTATAATAAATATTTAAGTAATAAACAAAAATTTTTCTGCTTACTCTTCTATTTAATTGAATTTGATATTTTTTATAACCTTATGAAAATTGTTTAGTGATTAATTATTTTTGAATTTTTATAAACAAGTAATGTTTAATATTAAAATTATTTATAACTCTTGTAAAAATTTGAATATATAATACATAAGTATTATTAAAATATATTATTACAATATAATATATTCATATGTAAAATTTTTACATATAAGAACGCGGATTTGTTCTGGTACAAATATCTTATATATAAATGTACATATCTCAAAGCAAAAAATTAAAAACAATTTTAAAGAAACGATTAATAGTTTCTTATTGTAAATAAAATCATTAAACTTACATACTGCAGAATTTTTAAAGTTCTCACCAATTTTCGTAAAAATTTATCTTGAAGTAATTACGTACATTTATTTTGACAGTTATTAGAAATTAGATTTTCAATTAAAATTTTTAAAGTTTTCCAGGAATGTTTTTTTTATATAATTCTATATCAGTATTATGAGATTATGCTGAATATTGAAAATAATTTATTAAACAAACATAAATGTTGTAAAATAAACGCTTTTTTAGATATTTAATTGCATTCAACAACAGTTCTAACCATAAAATTATTGCAACCTGAATTCAGATTAAACATTTGATTTTCTCTTAAATAAGCGAAATTTTTTTCATTTAGAGTAGGTAAAATTGAAATTTCTCCAATTTTGGTGTCAAAATGATACCAACAGGATAAAATTTGTTGCATACATTTTTAACACCGAATTTAATGTCAAAACAACACCCAGTTTTTTCTGTGTTATTTAAATATAAGTATAGATATTTATTTGATACAATTATATATTTATTTGAAACAAGTAAATATTAATTTGAAACATAAATATTTATTTGATATAATTATTTTTAAAAATTGTTTAAAATTAAAAGAAAATTTTAATTATTTAAATTTAATTAAAGAGAGTTTGTGTATATAAATATATTGCTGTGATGGTATTTTTGAACAGTAATTTTCCGATTAGTTGTGTATATATGTATATATGAGAGTGGAGTTTCAATTAATTAGTGTAATTAGTCGCGACTGGAGTGTTAACTGGAAACAGGGACTACTTGATGTGAAGCAGAATCGAGGGATAAAGGAAAAAGGGGGTGGATCTTGGACCAGTAATAACATAAATTGGGTGCCAGAGAGCAGTACGCTTACAGAGGCGGGCTTTGTGCAACGCTTGCGCAACAGAATATACAATTTTCCATCCCTTTCTCCTGCAAAAAAAAAAAGAAAACTATTTGAATTTCTTTAAATCCAAAAGAAAAATCACTATTTCCAGTTACGAAAGGAGAAAAAAAAAATTACATATTTTTTTTATTCTTTTGAAATTTAATATTACATTGAACAAATTTTCAAATTATTATCATTATTATTTTTTTTTACTATACTGACTCATCCAGAAAAATGGTATATCTGTCTCACAACCTAATAAATATTTATTTGATTCAAATAAAAAATTTTATTTACGCCAAATAAATGGGCTATAGTAGACTATGAGACAAATATAAATTTATTTAACTCAAATATATTATATTTGGTTCAAATAAAACATTTCTCTATGGGTGCGGTCCAAAAAAAAATCCCTATTTCCAGTTATACAAAAGGAAAAAAAAATGTTACATATTTTATATAGAAAAATTTTGCTGTGGCACCGAACTATTTTCTGTGATAGCAAATTACGTTAGCTAATATATAGGAACAGCGAACAAATTTGCTGTGGGGTCAAAAAAGTTTGCTGTGACTGTAAATTTTTTAAAAATTAATGTTTATCACAGCAAACTTTTTCGTTGTCATAGCAAAAAATTTAGCTGTGGTTACTAATTTTAATATAGACCCGATAGCAAACATCAGTTAGCATCTGTATAAATAATTCTTTTTTTTCCGTGTATCTTTTCGAAATTTAATTTTAAATTTGAAAATTTTTGAAAATATTATTTTATTATCATTATTATTTTTTTTAATTATTATTATTATTATTATTATTTTACTTATTATTATTATCTTGATACGAATATAATATTTCTGCAAAATTTAAATGTGATTATAATAATAATTTGAATTTTTTTATTATTATTATTATTGACGGTATATTGAATGAAGGGATTTAATTCATTTGCAGAGGATATATATATGAGGAGCTGGAAAGTAAAACTCGCTCTCCGCTCGGATGGACTCCGTAGAGCCAGTCAAACATTTGAAAAAGTGATGAAAATTGAAATTCAAAATTTTGAATTTTGAAAAGTACTACATTATAGGAAATTAAAAGGCGCATCTTTTTTTCCTTTGAAATTTTTTTATAAAACGAATATTTTAGTTTCTAGAGACCAAAAACTGAGAAATTTAAATTGTTAAATTTAATTAAGTTTTAAAACATAAATCATCGTATCTCCGACAATTATTAATGAATTTGATTCAAATTTGAGATGTACACGTAATAGGGTCTACTAAAGGCGACAAAATAATGAAAAATTAAAAAATCATTAATTGTTTAAATTTTTTTTAATAAAAATTGTGACCAGTTGATAATAACGTTTTCTTACTTTCATCGACAAAAAGTCTGCGGGGAACTTTGTAGTTTAGAAAACTTCCAGTGAGACATTTGTTTATCACTATATAAGGAAGTTTTCTGTAAAATATTAAACCAATTCATTGAAAACTTTAAAAATTATTCAAGTTTTAAGAAAGCGCGGTCGACGCGCAAGTAAGTTCTAACGCTATTCGTACAGACAGCTGTTCCGTGCATGAAATATAATTAGATTTTCACATTAAAGTATAAATTTCTTTATTATTATTATTATTATTATTATTATTGCCTATTCAGAATTAAAGTTTGTTGACAATTAATACTACAATGTTCAATTCTGTAATTACCATGTTATTTTATTGAACAAATATAATTTACAAATTTTTTGTCATTTTGAATAAATGGAAAATTATATGTATTTTAAAAATGATGCTAATAATACATTTTTTTGTTATTATTTATTAACAAACAGTTCAACAGTTTCTATGTATATACATTGTTAATGTTAAATTTTTTTATTACCTTATATTTACTAATTTTTTTCAAATTTTTTTTTTATTAATTATATTAGGAATACACTCAAAATTTTGCAATTTAAAATATTTTTTTTTGATACTTATTCAGAAAGTATTACAAATATCTTATTAACTTTCTAAAGTTTATAAAACTGAACAATCCTAAAACCAAAATTTTATTTTATATAATTAAAATTGAATTAAAAAAAATTTATTTTACAGAACGTTAATTTTCCATTTATCCAAAATGACAAAAAATTTGTAAATTATATTTGTTCAATAAAATAACATGGTAATTACAGAATTGAACATTGTAGTATTAATTGTCAACAAACTTTAATTCTGAATAGGCAATAATAATAATAATAATAATAAAGAAATTTATACTTTAATGTGAAAATCTAATTATATTTCATGCACGGAACAGCTGTCTGTACGAATAGCGTTAGGACTTACTTGCGCGTCGACCGCGCTTTCTTAAAACTTGAATAATTTTTAAAGTTTTCAATGAATTGGTTTAATATTTTACAGAAAACTTCCTTATATAGTGATAAACAAATGTCTCACTGGAAGTTTTCTAAACTACAAAGTTCCCCGCAGACTTTTTGTCGATGAAAGTAAGAAAACGTTATTATCAACTGGTCACAATTTCTATTAAAAAAAATTTAAACAATTAATGATTTTTTATTTTTTCATTATTTTGTCGCCTTTAGTAGACCCTATTACGTGTACATCTCAAATTTGAATCAAATTCATTAATAATTGTCGGAGATACGATGATTTATGTTTTAAAACTTAATTATATTTAACAATTTAAATTTCTCAGTTTTTGGTCTCTAGAAACTAAAATATTCGTTTTATAAAAAAATTTCAAAGGAAAAAAAGATGCGCCTTTTATTTTTCTATAATGTAGTACTTTTCAAAATTCAAAATTTTGAATTTCAATTTTCATCACTTTTTCAAATGTTTGACTGGCTCTACGGAGTCCATCCGAGCGGAGAGCGAGTTTTACTTTCCAGCTCCTCATATATAATAAATAGTAGGTCACGGTAATGTTTTTCAGTTTAAGCACAGAAATTATAAGCGGCTGTGTATAAAAGTAAACTTATATACATATAATAACTATATATATATAAAGGAGCAATATATTCCACACAGAGTATAGTTTCATGTATATATTGTACAAATATATGGAGTATATATCAGTAATTCTATTCAACGTTGGGCGTATAAGCCGAAAATAACGAGATAGGTGCTATACCTTTGCGATATCATAATATATATACATATATATATGAATGGAAAAGCAAATCATTGCTATATGCAGCCAAAGACATTTTGTATTTTTTGTATATAATTTAGTTACGAAAACAGTTTATCAATAATTGAAAAGGTACAAATCAAAGAATCGTTTATAATTTTTTTTTTTTTTTTTTAAACTAATTTCGAGTTTTAAAAAAATGTTATAAGCGGATTTTTGATCTGGACCCTAAATTTTTGCAATATTTCAAGAAAATTTAGAAAATATTTTATTTTATTTTTTATAGAAAGAGAAATGTCAGATAGGAGCACTCCAGAATGTTCAGCTTGTCGACCACGTGGGGTTTTTTATGGTCAAGTCTATAGTCCATCCACTCCAACAAATTAATAATATTATTTATTTAAAAGTGAGTATAGAATTATTTATTTTCCAAAATATCAATTTTTGTAATTATTATTTATGTTGCCATTGAAACTTTTTTATTATAAGAATACAAAAACTCATTGTAATATTATATTTGTAATAATTTATTATTTTTTATTATTAATATTTATTTTTATTTATTTTTATTATTTTTTTACTATTTTTTATTTTTTAAATTTTTTATGTTTATTATTGATTATTTTTATTACTATTTATTTTTATTATTAATACACGAGAAAAAAAATTTATCTGAAATAGGGAAAGGTTTATATAGTAGCAAAAGTTTTGCTTGTTTCAGTTGAATCTTTCACTATTCTAGTGAAACTTTTCTCTGTTTCAGGGTAAATTTTTTTTTCCCATGTATATTTATTTAAATTTCCAATTTTTAAATTAACGAGTTCTTTTTTTTACACAATTAATATTTTTTCTAATTTTATATTTGATGTTTAATTTAATAATAATTATTAAAATCTACACTGAGGAAAAAATTTATTTGATTCAAATTAATCGACTATTATCAAATAAATATTTATACTTGAACCATATAATTTTTGAAATCAAAATAATATTGAATTAAATAAACGAAATTAATTTCTATATTTGAGAAATAAATACCATTTAATTGACTTAAATAATAATTATTTGTTATAAATAAATAATTATTTGATAATAGTCAAGTAATTATTTGAATGAAATAAATTTTTCTTTCTCTATATATATAATTGATAACGATTTTCTATTTTGCAGCATGTTGTAAATTTATTAAAGAAGAAAAAATTGTTTATACACATAAATGTATTAGGAGGAATCTATATATGTCTTCTTGGGAAGAACATTAATATATATGTAAAATATAATTCCTTAAAAAGGCAATATTAAAAAAAAAATGATTTCATACAAAAAAATATGTATAAATATATATGAAAGGAAAAATACCAAAGATACGAAACTTATTTAAAGTAACACTGTAACGATATTATATATGGGCAAATCCACAGAACCGGCCGATTTCATGTTACTCACATATTTTTCTATTTTAGAAGTATTATATTAATTATTTTCATACTTCAACCATTTTGTAATATCTCTGAGAACCTATTGAAATAAGAAAATTGAATAAATGTGAACCTTCTAGTCTTTTATAAAAAATAAAATCGAATTAAGTAACTTAAAAAATGAAATTTACGGTGTTACTCCAGGTATAAATTTTAATTCTTATAGGTATAACTTGTTCGGCATAGATCCGAACAATTCCAAACTGTGGTGAATTATAGTTTACTTATTGAAGAATGTTTTGAAAGTAATAAAAAATATGTGCTTTTAAATAAAAAGAAATGATAGTCGTTGAAAGTAGCGTTACTCATTATTTTATAATAATGAAATGTCTATACATTTTTGTAAATATATTTTGCGGCGATTATTCGATTTGAATTTTTCAAATTGGAGCTTATTGCTTGTGAACAGACGAACAAATGTATGTATCATAGAATAGAGTGCAATCAGAATTAAAGAAAATATTCCAATAATTATCACTCTATGTTTAAGCGTGAACCATTTTCAACATAGCCTTTTTTCAGTAGCACAACTACAGAATAAAATATGATGAGTTGAAAACATGTGTGATTATATAAAGACATTATTATAATTCTTGTATGCAAACGCCAAATTATATTTTCAATTTATAACGTCTAAAAATTAAAAATAAAAAAAAATTTATCGAAATTTAACTAGTTAATCGTGAAAAATGAATTATCCTTTCATTTGTTTTATTTTCAAAGTTATATCAAAATCGATGTCAATAATGTCAGTTTGTTGGTTAAAATAGTTAATATCAAAATTAGTAAGTAAACAATTTAATTTACAGAAATAAAAAATTAAATGCTAATAAATAAAATATATAATAAAATATGATAAAATATAAATAATTTATTTTTGATAATTAAAAAATTAATTATTTGTATTTTATCATATTTTATTATTCAAAATGTTTTGCACATATTTCAAATAATATATAAAAAAAACAAAGAAATGCCATTTTTAATTATAATTTCCAGAAGAAAAATAATATTTTCGTTTTTGGCTTTTAACTCAAACGGCATTAAAATAAAATGAATCACGCAAGAAGATAATTATTCTTGAATATATTTTAAAGAAAGTAAACCATAAATAAAAGGTGTGCTTGCTATTTGGAAAATTTTCATCTTGATAAGTAAAAATCGGCCGGTTCTGTGGATTTGCCCATATACATAATTAATATAAAATAATAATAATAATAATAATCTAGTCACAGACACTTTTCATATAGATTCTAAACGCATTGCACACATATTGTTATTTAGAATATATACTGCCGAGTATAAAAAATAATAATTTATTATTATTATGATGCAATTATTGTGATTAGCTGAATATTTATTGTACACACAGAGTTGTAATTACAACAACGTAGAGAGTGATATTAATTTTAAATATGTAAATTTAATGACATAGTGATGTATTTAGTATATAGGATTATAATAAAATCGTTAATTGCCGATATATAGAAAATATGGTTTCTTTATTTACACACACACACACCAAGAGAAAAAAAAAATATTTGTCTCTGTCAAATAAAATATTTATTTGTTTTAAATAATTTTTTTATTTAATTTAAATAAAATTTTAATTGCTTTAACTAAAATTTATATTTTGTGCCAATTAAAATTTTATTTGTCCTAACTAAAATTTTATTTGTGCTAACTAAAATTTTGTTTGTGCTAATTAAAATTTTATTTGTACTAACTAAAATTTTGTTTGTGCTAATTAAAATTTTATTTGTGCTAACTAAAATTTTGTTTGTGCTAATTAAAATTTTATTTGTGCTAACTAAAATTTTGTTTGTGCTAATTAAAATTTTATTTGTGCTAACTAAAATTTTGTTTGTGCTAATTAAAATTTTATTTGTGCTAACTAAAATTTTGTTTGTGCTAATTAAAATTTTATTTGTGCTAAATAAAATTTTTTTATTTAAAACCAATAAAATGCTATAGAATAAAAAATAAATCTTTTCAATTACTCTCCTCAAATATTTTTTATATACGCGATTCGATTTAGTAATCTTTGTATAAAGAAGCTGTACGCGGGCTTAGAAAATCCTTCGGGAACTTTTTTTTTTTTTTTGTGTCATGCGTGTGCGATGCTTCGATGAACAGAACCCTTGATACTATATCAGTCCTTGGGAAGTCCCTTGGCGATCGTCAGCAAAATTTCAGATTCCAAATTTAATGTTCTGGGTCATATTACGGTACGACCTTTTGTCACGTATATTTCAGATTGTAAAATTTTAACATCTGTTTCATTTTAATTATATACAATTAATTATATACATTAAATATATCAAAATAATTATATTTACATAAATAAATATAAAAAAGTTATATTACAAATATAAAAAATGTTATTTTTTTATTTACATATTTCAAATTTTTTTTTGTTTTCGAAAAATTGTATAGAAAAATTCGTTTTGAAAAAGTCTTTATATGGAAAAAATGTATAACGAGAAACTTTCGTTTCTTTTAAGATAAAAAAAATATATATATTTTTATACAACTATCACTCTCCTTACCATATAGTAGAAAAGAAGCTACGTTTGCGCGACTAATGTTCCGGGAAATTGGTTTCGCAAATGTAGACATTTTCTCTCGGGAAAAATCAACAATAGTCGGTGTGTGTGTTACGTAAGTACCTCACGTTTCGCCGATGAAACAATTCTTTCTTGTTCTATGTATTTTTTAGCACACACAGGACAAGAAAAATTTATTAAAACATCAAGTGCGTCATGAATTTAATTCAAACAATATTTTTTATTTTTTTTGCAGAAATTATTGTAAATTTATTTTTTAAATCTATTTATAAATAATTTACCTATTACAAAATAGTGGAAAATTATAATGAAAAATTCGCATATAATTGAAAATAAATAAAATAAAATTTTTAAATATTAAAAAAAAACTTTTTTAAATGTAAAAGAAATTCAATTTACTAATATATATAAAAGGATTGAAATATATTTTTTTTCAGAATTTATTATATTATACGCATTTAACGAGTACGTTTTTATACACTGAACCTTGAATGTGTATATATATATATATAGCTTTTACAATAGAGTAGACCCGAGCGAGCATTTAAAGAAAAATTTTAATTGCAACCCGTAAGCCGCTTAAAGTGATCCTCCCCTTCTATACGTTAATAAAAACAACCCTCATTCACAAGAATACAGTCGTATCTCAAACATATAGATTCATCTTTTCTAGTTTTTCTTTTCTTTTCTTTCACTCGCAAAAGAGCTTCAAACAAAATTTGCCTCAATACCTTTTCAAAAATAAAGTATAAATTTTTTTTTCAGATTTAAAAAAAATTATGGAAAAATAATTTTTATAACAAATTTTTTATTGCTGAATTATTTTTACATTTAATATATTTCTTTTTAATTTATTTACTCACTGAATCTGAATTAGTTAAAAATAACTAATTTTTTTTTAGTAAAATTTTGGCTGATTTTTTGCTTCAGGAATCAGTAGAAAAAATTACTAATTATTAGTAAAAAAAAATAAAGTAACTAAACAAAAAAAAAAAACTGAAAAAATAAATTTTTTTTAATTTTTAATTACCATTAGTTATTTTGATTTTAATAACTTTAGTTATTTTCAACTTACAGATTGGAATAAATTTTCTGATTTTCTAAATTTTTTATAATTTTTTTTTTCTTTCTAAATCTGAATTAGTTAAAAGTAACTATTTTTTTTCAGTAAAATCTTGCTACAACAAATAGTAAAAATAACTAATTTTCAGTGTTAAAATAAGTGAAAAAATAATCAAATTTTACTAATTTAATTATTTTTAACATAAAAATTAGTAGAAATATTACTCTCTGAATCTGAATTAGTTAAAATAACTATTTTTTTCAGTAAAATCTTGCTTTAACAAATAGTAAAAATAACTAATTTTCAGTGTTAAAATAAGTGAAAAAATAATCAAATTTTACTACTTTAATTATTTTTAATATAAAAATTAGTAGAAATATTACTCTCTGAATCTGAATTAGTTAAAAATAACTAATTATTTTAGTAAAATTTTGGCTGATTTTTTGCTTCAGCAATCAGTAAAAAAAATTACTAATTATTAGTAAAAAAAAGTAACTAACCATAAAAAAACTGAAAAAATAAATTTTTTTGTATTTTTAATTACCATTAGTTATTTTGATTTTAATAACTTTAGTTATTTTCAACTTACAGATTGGAATAAATTTTCTGATTTTCTAAATTTTTTATAATTTTTTTTTTCTTTCTAAATCTGAATTAGTTAAAAGTAACTATTTTTTTTCAGTAAAATCTTGCTACAACAAATAGTAAAAATAACTAATTTTCAGTGTTAAAATAAGTGAAAAAATAATCAAATTTTACTAATTTAATTATTTTTAACATAAAAATTAGTAGAAATATTACTCTCTGAATCTGAATTAGTTAAAAATAACTAATTTTTTTAAGTAAAATTTTACCTGACTTTTTGCTTCAAAAATTAATAAACAAAAAAATTATAATAACTAATTATTAGTGAAAAAGTAACAGTGGCAAAAAATAGCTAGTGAATTGAACTAATTTTAGTTAAGTTAATAAAGTAATAAAATTAGTAAATTTTTTTGTATTACTAAAAAATCAGTAAAAATATTACTATTTAAAATCAATAATTATTTTGCTACCAAATTAATTATTTTTTAACTAATTGAAAAAAGGAGTAGGTAAATAGTCAAACTAAAAATATTATTGTATTAAAAAAAAATTTATTTAAAAAAAAATTTTTTTTTTTTTATATTAATAAATAGAATTCTGTGGCTTAAGTGATTATTGCACCCTGATGCTCAATCTAGTGGTCGCACGTTGTACTTCTTTGCCGAAAATGATATGCCTTGTTACCGCGTTGACTTGGAAAGCTCCATGATCCCTTGGGTAATATAATATACAATTATATCCACAGAAAAAGAAAGTATATGCATTATGTATGTCTCGGACCCTCCACCAAGAGTTAAATCACGTTGTAGGGTTGGTTAACTTTACAAATAATATCGAACTCACACACCATATTATATCCAAATGTACATAAACAAAAGAAAAAAAAATTTCAATTTCTTCTAAAAAATAAATTACGTCTCAAAAATAATTATAGGTCCCCTTCGAAAGGTTGAAAATAAAATAATATAAATAAATTTATATTTATTGAATAAATAAATTTACTATATATATTTAGAAAAAATATTATTTTCACAAATTAAAAAAATGGCGGATCTAATATGGCCGTAAAAGAAAAATCGCACACCCAGAGAAATGTTTTATTTGAACCAAATATAATAATATTTGAGTTAAAATTTGTCTCACAAACTACTATCCTATTTATTTGGCGTAAATAAATTTTTTTATTTGAATCAAATAAAAATTTATTTCAATCAAATAAATATTTATTAGGCTGTGAGACACTCTCTAAATCTAAATTAGTAAAAAATTTTACTAATTTGAATTAGTGACTCACTTTTTGCTTCTCAATTAGTAAAATTTTACTAATTAACATTTACTAACAATTACACTCAGAGAAATGGTATATTTGTCTCCGAGCCTACTAATTCATTTATTTGTTGCAAATATATTTTATTTCATTGAAATAAAAAATTTATTTGAGCCAAGGAAAAATTTATTTCTGACTAATAAAATTTTTATTCACGCCAAATAAATAAGTTAGTAGGCTCTGAGACAAATATACGTTTATTTAAATCAAATAAATCATTTCTCTGGGTGTAGTAAAATTTAACTAATTCTAAAGCAAAAAGTGAGTCACTAATTTAAATTAGTAAACAATTTTACTAATTCAAATTTAGAGAGCAAATATATGTGTAATACAGGGTTTATGGTATATAAATCAAGTGACAAAATAAATTGACATAGAGCACACTTTATTTTTTAATTATTTGTAATAATAATTATAGCATTGATCGAAATCGTATTTTTTTTTACTTCAAACCGGAGTCAATAATTATAGTAGATTAATTTACCGATATAAGTGTAATTAATCATATTGTATTGTCTGAAAGTATCACTGTTTTGCATCCTTTGGCCGTTTTTATATATTCGAAAAAATAAATATCGATCACAAAAATTAACATAGTGCTAAAAATCAAAAAATTAAAAAATAAAAATAAATAAAAAATAATGAAAATACAAAATAATAATAAAAATAATAAAAAAATAGAAATAATGAAAATAATAATAATACTAATAATTTTTAAAATTATTAATTATTATAATAACAACAATAACAATTAATTAACAAATTGGACAAAAGACAATTCCATGGATTTGAAAAAAAAAAATTTTTTTCAATTCAGCGAATGGTTCTCTCGAAATTGAAATCACATTAAAAATCGAGATTTGTGACTCTTA